TGTCTTTTTTAAAGACAAAAATTTTTGAGGCGAAATACCCAAAAAGAAGTTTGTAAAAAATGAATCCGCCTCAACAATATAGAACTTATCTACAGTAAATTGTTGTGAAAAACGTGCGTTTTTCAGTGAATGTGTGGCTCTCCAAGATCCGTACTGCGCCTGGGACAAAGTCCAAGGCAAATGCCGCTCCAAGGGACCAGGAAAATGGGGCGAAGAAAGCTACTTCTTCCAAAGTGTGGCGAGTGGGGAGCACATCGCTTGCCCGCCCCTTAAGAGTAAAGATGCCGGATACGTGGGGGGACTCAGCTCCAACCAGCCGAAATTCAACGAGCACATGCCCAACAAGGATCAACCGGACGGCCAGATTATCAACATCATCCAGGAAAAGCCTTATGAAAACATCGGTCAGTCGAAACATCAATTATCAATTTGAAAAGTTCAAATTTAGAAGACATTTTGCACAACCCATTGGAATTAATCCTTTCAGGCCCATCCGTAACAGCAACGGACGCTCTTCCCAATCAATACTCAGTGGAAACGCTCATAACGGCTGTAGTAGCAGGCGCGGTTTCTGCCCTGGTAGTGGGATTTATTGCCGGTTACTTATGCGGCCGCAAATGCCATAAAGATGAAGATGACAACCTACCATACCCCGATACGGAGTACGAGTACTTTGAGCAGCGGCAGAACATGAACAGGTATAATTTTGCTTTCATTTGGCCACGTTCAAGCGCGAGTCTTTGCGACTTTTCCCCCCACAAAACGTGATGAGGAAAACGTCACTTAAAAGTGCAGCATGAATTTTAGCCGAATCACTGCCGAGCCGAAGCTGCTGCCACAAGAGGAAGTGACGTATGCCGAGCCGGTGCTCGTGCCGCAGCCTCCTCCCAAAAACTACTCGCCCAAGAGCACCCTGAGGAAGGGCCCGCACCAAAACAATGCCGAAACGTTGTTCCAGTTTCAAGATGGCGGGTACAACGGCCGCGACAACTACAGAGGACGCGATAACTTTGGTACCTTGAGGTCGCACCAGGTAGGGGTTCTGGTTTGAAATTTATAAGCAAAGGCTGAAAGTAAGAATTTGGATTGCGAGTTCTTCGATTGCCCGAAAATCGGAACCAGACAGGAATTCTAAATTCTTAGTTTCGTGCAAGGCCAATCAAAGTGTGTGACTACCAAAAGAAACTTGTACTAAAAGAACTGTCGATTTTGGCCCATTTTACATCAGGTTTTTTTACTTTAACAGCAATGGGGCTATAGATACCCATAAAATGATCAGGTAACTTTCTCTAAGCTAGCCATTATCTAAATAGAAACTCAAACTTTCACTTCCTCCTCTTAGAAACTGTCTGTAAAGTTCTTTCAGAAGTTTCACTGATTTCACCTGGACTTCTTAGCTAAATAGCATATAGAAACTTAGAAGACTTTATCTGCCATTTGAATCATCTCAGTAGACGTTTGATTAATTTGTACACTAACAAAGAGTAATATGATGATGATGCGCCGGTTAGACAAGTTGGGAATCAAGGAAACACTTAAAGAGGCCCGAACAAGGTCAGATGGAACGAAATAAATATGCAAAAAGCTCTCCTTTCCAATTTAAGTAACAATTTCCAACAAGACACTGTTTCATTTTGGATTGTCGATCTTAATTTGAATTTCCCTTTTATTTGCCTGTTGCCAGGGGCGGATCCAGCTTTAAAGTCAGGGGGGGTTATGTAGAAAAAATACAGTCTTCTGTTATCTATGAAATTAGAAAAAT